AAAGCCCGGTATGCTATAATTTTAGAATTTTAGAATTTTTATTAACCAATATTTTTTTTTCCTATTAACATTAGCTTATTTTTTTTTTTTTTTAGATATTATCATCGATCTCTCAATCCAAAAAGATTGATTGAAGCGAAATTTTCTCACAAACCTCTTAACGTTCCCTTATCGTGTGTAATTAAAAAGTTTAAGCTACCAGCTGAAACATCTATACCTGGTCTCAGACCGATGTTAAAGAAAGATGTCCCTGAAGTTAGAGCATTGTTAAATGAATACATGAGTAAATTTAACTTTGTACCTGTTTTTAAGACTGATGACGAAGTAAAACATTGGATATTAACGAGAGGAGTTGTTTGGTCATTTGTTGTTGAAGTAAATACATTATAGCTGATTTTAAATTTTGTCTTTACGTGATTATATATCTATATTTAACAAAAAAAAAAAAATATTATTTTTATTAGGACCCTGAAACAAAAAAAGTGACCGACTTTTTTTCGTTTTATTATTTGCCATCATCAGTTATTGGTCACCAAGTTCATAAAACTATAAATGCGGTTTATTTATTTTATTATGCAGTAAAAGAATCCGATGAAAAGTCTACAAAAGGAAGATTACAAAGTTTAATGAAGGATGCATTGATATTGGCGAAATTGGTTCGTATTATCCGTTATTGTTTATTATTAAAAATAATTGATATTGATTCACTAAATATATTTTTACTATAATTAGAAAAGTGTTGATTTTTTCAATTGTCTTGACCTGTTGGAAAACAAATTATTCATTGAAGAACTAAAATTCGGACCAGGGGATGGATATTTGAATTATTATATGTATAATTGGCGTTGTAGAGAAATGGGTAGCGAAAAAGTAGGTGTGGTCATGTAATTTAGTCCATCATTTATAAATTTAGTTTGTTTTGGATAACAATAAATTTATATTATTTAATGGAGTTTTTTTTTTTTTTTTTTGAATATAAAACTATGTTTTAAATATTTTTAAAAATGTAAAACAATTCCAGCATTTCTTTCATATACACGTTCCAATAAATTAATAAATAGCAAATAATTGTAATCCGCAGTAAATAGGTTCGTGTAACGTGCTCATTATATTTGAATTCAACACTCGAGATTTAACTGTTTCGGTTAACTTTTTGGACCTTTAATTTATAATGGCGTCTACATTACAAACACAAGACTCGCCAAGACCTGGTGGTTTTCCCGCTATTCGGTATAAACGTAATATACCAAAAAGAGGTCCTTCTGGGCTTGTTATTTTAACGGGTTTAACCGCCATATCTACGTTAGGTTTTTATTGGGCATCACAAACAATTCAAGAGCTTCGGTAAGCCTTTCTAATTTATTTGATCATACATTCAATTTTTTCTTTCTGAAGTACTTATTGATTTCTATTAGCGAGCTAAAACGAGAACGAATTTGGTCACGTATATATCTTGTCCCGATGTTACAAGCTGTGATTCATATCGTCGTACTCGGGCATCTTTACAGCGTGAAGCTGAAATTATGAAAGATGTTCCAGACTGGAAAGTTGGCGAGAGCGTATATAATACCAAGCGTTATGTACCTCCATCTGTATTTGTTTTGCCAGAAAAATGATTTCTTAATAATATTAAGAAATTTTATTTAAAAGAATATTCACCATTAGTCTTCACAAAGTATTATCCATGCTGACAAGGATTATTCTACTTTTTTTTGTTTCATTAACTGCACTCTGTAATTTTACTTATAAAATTGCAGTTAATTTAAAATAAAAAATATTTTATTTTGCTGTGCTATATCTATCGGATTTGCAACCACGTGCCTGTTATAAAAAAGGACTGAATATAATACTCCGATTTAACATAGTAAATTATATATAAAATTTTTTTTTGTCTGAATCTTACAATTAACTAGTTCTTAAATTTTTTAAGTTTTCCCATATTAAGTATTGTTTTTAAAAGTATGCAAAATTTAAAAATATGGGAGGTTTGCTATTAAAATCGAGTTACCCCAGCATCGCCATAAAAAATGTCACTACCACGTGATCATAGTAAAATATTTGTCATGTCAACATAACACCCTTCCTTCTTTCATTTTGGTTTTTTTATGATATGTGAAATCATATTCATCACAACATTATTTATCACAGGAGAGTCACACTTAATATTATGACGTCACACTATAATGCAGGCTAAATGTTACGTGATAGTGACTTTTTTATGGCGATGCTGGGTAGTTTTACGAACGGGCATCCTTAAAATGTACCCCGGGTTCCTAGATCGCAACTGTACTTATCACGTGATAATTACTTTAAAAAATATTTATTTTACATGGGGTTTAGGATAATAACCTAAACCCGGAGTTTAGGTTAAATTTTCACTTTACAAACATAGTAAATCATATGATCTGTAACGTGATTTTAATAGTTTACAGAAAATCAGATTTATTAAATTATATGAATTTTCTTTTAATAATAATTCTAAAATTAAGTCAAATTTTCAAATGCTATATTTTCAAAATTCATTAATAAATTTAAGTAATATATAATCTACAAGAAATACAAAAAGAACTTGCAGCTGTAATTTTATTGAAATATGTATTTATATACTTTGCTTTTTTTGCTGAAATATATGCTATATTATCTTTAAGCAAAAATAATATAACTGTAAATTTAATTGATTTTTATGATAAGTATTTAAAATAGTTATTGCAACATATTTTTCTATTACAATAAATTATATCTTTTATTTTATAATAGTTATTAATAGATAATTATATCTGAAATATCATACTAAAATAAATATCAATTAGTATAACTAAAACTAATATAAAGCATTAATATTAATTATTAAAGAATTATAAATGTGAAAATTTTCATTAGTAATTTGTTAATTGTAGAAATTTATGGTATATTAATAATAATAGTAGCTATATGAGAATTATTATAAAAAGATATTATTGCAGAAAAACAGGCTTTATGAATATTATAATAATTATCCATATTTAAAATATATAAAAATTCAATCTATAAAAAAATAAATTAGCTATTAAATATTAAAATTTAATTGTAAAATCATTAATTGAATATATATATATAATTTTGAAAATATTTTTAATTTGATCATTTTTAATCTTTACTCTTGTTTAATTAATTATTTTAAAAGTAATTGAAACTCTTATATTTGATAAAGTATTTATTCTTTGCTTGGATAATTCTGAATATTAAAAAAATAAAC